CTAAAGAGTCTCCAAAAGTTGTAGTTTGTGTAGTTTTAGACGCAAAAATGAATTATTTCAAGGTTTTATAAATCAACTTAAATTGAAAAGAGAAATAATTATCTTTGTTTCTAAAACACAAGCTACAACGAAACGTCGAGAATACCTTTACCTAAAGAGTCTCCAAAAGTTGTAGTTTGTGTAGTTTTAGATGCAAAAAATAAATTATTCCAAGGTTTTATTAAATCAACTAAATTGAAAAGAGAAATAATTATCTTTGTTTCTAAAACACAAGCTACAACGAAACGTCGAGAATACCTTTACCTAAAGAGTCTCCAAAAGTTGTAGTTTGTGTAGTTTTAGATGCAAGAAATAAATTATTCCTTGGATTTATTAAACAACTAATATTGAAAAGAGAAATAATTATCTTTGTTTCTAAAACACAAGCTACAACGAAACGTCGAGAATACCTTTACCTAAAGAGTCTCCAAAAGTTGTAGTTTGTGTAGTTTTAGACGCAAAAATGAATTATTTCAAAGTTTTATAAATCAACTTAAATTAAAAAGAGAAATAATTTTCTTTGTTTCTAAAACACAAGCTACAACGAAACGTCGAGAATACCTTTACCTAAAGAGTCTCCAAAAGTTGTAGTTTGTGTAGTTTTAGATGCAAAAAATAAATTATTCCAAGGTTTTATTAATCAACTAAAATTGAAAAGAAAAATAATTATCTTTGTTTCTAAAACACAAGCTACAACGAAACGTCGAGAATACCTTTACCTAAAGAGTCTCCAAAAGTTGTAGTTTGTGTAGTTTTAGATGCAAAAAATAAATTATTCCTTGGATTTATTAAACAACTAATATTGAAAAGAGAAATAATTATCTTTGTTTCTAAAACACAAGCTACAACGAAACGTCGAGAATACCTTTACCTAAAGAGTCTCCAAAAGTTGTAGTTTGTGTAGTTTTAGACGCAAAAATGAATTATTTCAAGGTTTTATAAATCAACTTAAATTGAAAAGAGAAATAATTATCTTTGTTTCTAAAACACAGGCTACAACGAAACGTCGAGAATACCTTTACCTAAAGAGTCTCCAAAAGTTGTAGTTTGTGTAGTTTTAGATGCAAAAAATAAATTATTCCTTGGATTTATTAAACAACTAATATTGAAAAGAGAAATAATTATCTTTGTTTCTAAAACACAGGCTACAACGAAACGTCGAGAATACCTTTACCTAAAGAGTCTCCAAAAGTTGTAGTTTGTGTAGCTTTAGATGCAAAAAATAAATTATTCCTTGGATTTATTAAACAACTAATACTGAAAAGAGAAATAATTATCTTTGTTTCTAAAACACAAGCTACAACGAAACGTCGAGAATACCTTTACCTAAAGAGTCTCCAAAAGTTGTAGTTTGTGTAGTTTTAGACGCAAAAATGAATTATTTCAAGGTTTTATAAATCAACTTAAATTGAAAAGAGAAATAATTATCTTTGTTTCTAAAACACAAGCTACAACGAAACGTCGAGAATACCTTTACCTAAAGAGTCTCCAAAAGTTGTAGTTTGTGTAGTTTTAGACGCAAAAATGAATTATTTCAAGGTTTTATAAATCAACTTAAATTGAAAAGAGAAATAATTATCTTTGTTTCTAAAACACAAGCTACAACGAAACGTCGAGAATACCTTTACCTAAAGAGTCTCCAAAAGTTGTAGTTTGTGTAGTTTTAGACGCAAAAATGAATTATTTCAAGGTTTTATAAATCAACTTAAATTCAAAAGAGAAATAATTATCTTTGTTTCTCAAACACAAGCTACAACGAAACGTCGAGAATACCTTTACCAAAGAGTCTCCAAAAGTTGTAGTTTGTGTAGTTTTAGACACAAAAATGAATTATTTCAAGGTTTTATTAATCAACTAGAATTAAAAAGGGAAATTATTATCATTGTTTCTAATACACAAGCTACAACGAAACGTCGAGAATACCTTTACCTAAAGAGTCTCCAAAAGTTGTAGTTTGTGTAGTTTTAGATGCAAAAAATAAATTATTCCAAGGTTTTATTAATCAACTAAAATTGAAAAGAAAAATAATTATCTTTGTTTCTAAAACACAAGCTACAACGAAACGTCGAGAATACCTTTACCTAAAGAGTCTCCAAAAGTTGTAGTTTGTGTAGTTTTAGACGCAAAAATGAATTATTTCAAGGTTTTATAAATCAACTTAAATTCAAAAGAGAAATAATTATCTTTGTTTCTCAAACACAAGCTACAACGAAACGTCGAGAATACCTTTACCTAAAGAGTCTCCAAAAGTTGTAGTTTGTGTAGTTTTAGACGCAAAAATGAATTATTTCAAAGTTTTATAAATCAACTTAAATTGAAAAGAGAAATAATTTTCTTTGTTTCTAAAACACAAGCTACAACGAAACGTCGAGAATACCTTTACCTAAAGAGTCTCCAAAAGTTGTAGTTTGTGTAGTTTTAGATGCAAAAATAAATTATTCCTTGGATTTATTAAACAACTAATATTGAAAAGAGAAATAATTATCTTTGTTTCTAAAACACAAGCTACAACGAAACGTCGAGAATACCTTTACCTAAAGAGTCTCCAAAAGTTGTAGTTTGTGTAGTTTTAGACGCAAAAATGAATTATTTCAAGGTTTTATAAATCAACTTAAATTGAAAAGAGAAATAATTATCTTTGTTTCTAAAACACAAGCTACAACGAAACGTCGAGAATACCTTTACCTAAAGAGTCTCCAAAAGTTGTAGTTTGTGTAGTTTTAGATGCAAAAAATAAATTATTCCTTGGATTTATTAAACAACTAATATTGAAAAGAGAAATAATTATCTTTGTTTCTAAAACACAGGCTACAACGAAACGTCGAGAATACCTTTACCTAAAGAGTCTCCAAAAGTTGTAGTTTGTGTAGTTTTAGACGCAAAAATGAATTATTTCAATGTTTTATAAATCAACTTAAATTGAAAAGAGAAATAATTTTCTTTGTTTCTAAAACACAGGCTACAACGAAACGTCGAGAATACCTTTACCATAGAGTCTCCAAAAGTTGTAGTTTGTGTAGTTTTAGACGCAAAAATGAATTTTTTCAAGGTTTTATAAATCAACTTAAATTGAAAAGAGAAATAATTATCTTTGTTTCTAAAACACAAGCTACAACGAAACGTCGAGAATACCTTTACCTAAAGAGTCTCCAAAAGTTGTAGTTTGTGTAGTTTTAGACGCAAAAATGAATTATTTCAAGGTTTTATAAATCAACTTAAATTGAAAAGAGAAATAATTATCTTTGTTTCTAAAACACAAGCTACAACGAAACGTCGAGAATACCTTTACCTAAAGAGTCTCCAAAAGTTGTAGTTTGTGTAGTTTTAGACGCAAAAATGAATTATTCCTTGGATTTATTAAACAACTAATATTGAAAAGAGAAATAATTATCTTTGTTTCTAAAACACAAGCTACAACGAAACGTCGAGAATACCTTTACCTAAAGAGTCTCCAAAAGTTGTAGTTTGTGTAGTTTTAGATGCAAAAAATAAATTATTCCAAGGTTTTATTAATCAACTTAAATTGAAAAGAGAAATAATTATCTTTGTTTCTAAAACACAAGCTACAACGAAACGTCGAGAATACCTTTACCTAAAGAGTCTCCAAAAGTAGTAGTTTGTGTAGTTTTAGACGCAAAAATGAATTTTTTCAAGGTTTTATAAATCAACTTAAATTGAAAAGAGAAATAATTTTCTTTGTTTCTAAAACACAGGCTACAACGAAACGTCGAGAATACCTTTACCATAGAGTCTCCAAAAGTTGTAGTTTGTGTAGTTTTAGACGCAAAAATGAATTATTTCAAAGTTTTATAAATCAACTTAAATTGAAAAGAGAAATAATTTCTTTGTTTCTAAAACACAAGCTACAACGAAACGTCGAGAATACCTTTACCTAAAGAGTCTCCAAAAGTTGTAGTTTGTGTAGTTTTAGATGCAAAAAATAAATTATTCCTTGGATTTATTAAACAACTAATATTGAAAAGAGAAATAATTATCTTTGTTTCTAAAACACAAGCTACAACGAAACGTCGAGAATACCTTTACCTAAAGAGTCTCCAAAAGTTGTAGTTTGTGTAGTTTTAGACGCAAAAATGAATTATTTCAAGGTTTTATAAATCAACTTAAATTGAAAAGAGAAATAATTATCTTTGTTTCTAAAACACAAGCTACAACGAAACGTCGAGAATACCTTTACCTAAAGAGTCTCCAAAAGTTGTAGTTTGTGTAGTTTTAGATGCAAAAAATAAATTATTCCTTGGATTTATTAAACAACTAATATTGAAAAGAGAAATAATTATCTTTGTTTCTAAAACACAGGCTACAACGAAACGTCGAGAATACCTTTACCTAAAGAGTCTCCAAAAGTTGTAGTTTGTGTAGTTTTAGACGCAAAAATGAATTATTTCAATGTTTTATAAATCAACTTAAATTGAAAAGAGAAATAATTTTCTTTGTTTCTAAAACACAGGCTACAACGAAACGTCGAGAATACCTTTACCATAGAGTCTCCAAAAGTTGTAGTTTGTGTAGTTTTAGACGCAAAAATGAATTTTTTCAAGGTTTTATAAATCAACTTAAATTGAAAAGAGAAATAATTTTCTTTGTTTCTAAAACACAGGCTACAACGAAACGTCGAGAATACCTTTACCAAAGAGTCTCCAAAAGTTGTAGTTTGTGTAGTTTTAGACGCAAAAATGAATTATTTCAAGGTTTTATAAATCAACTTAAATTGAAAAGAGAAATAATTATCTTTGTTTCTAAAACACAAGCTACAACGAAACGTCGAGAATACCTTTACCTAAAGAGTCTCCAAAAGTTGTAGTTTGTGTAGTTTTAGACGCAAAAATGAATTATTTTCAAGGTTTTATAAATCAACTTAAATTGAAAAGAGAAATAATTTTCTTTGTTTCTAAAACACAGGCTACAACGAAACGTCGAGAATACCTTTACCTAAAGAGTCTCCAAAAGTTGTAGTTTGTGTAGTTTTAGACGCAAAAATGAATTATTCCTTGGATTTATTAAACAACTAATATTGAAAAGAGAAATAATTATCTTTGTTTCTAAAACACAAGCTACAACGAAACGTCGAGAATACCTTTACCTAAAGAGTCTCCAAAAGTTGTAGTTTGTGTAGTTTTAGATGCAAAAAATAAATTATTCCAAGGTTTTATTAATCAACTAAAATTGAAAAGAAAAATAATTATCTTCGTTTCTAAAACACAAGCTACAACGAAACGTCGAGAATACCTTTACCTAAAGAGTCTCCAAAAGTTGTAGTTTGTGTAGTTTTAGACGCAAAAATGAATTATTCCAAGGATTTATTAAACAACTAATATTGAAAAGAGAAATAATTATTTTTGTTTCTAAAACACAAGCTACAACGAAACGTCGAGAATACCTTTACCATAGAGTCTCCAAAAGTTGTAGTTTGTGTAGTTTTAGACGCAAAAATGAATTATTTCAAGGTTTTATAAATCAACTTAAATTCAAAAGAGAAATAATTATCTTTGTTTCTAAAACACAAGCTACAACGAAACGTCGAGAATACCTTTACCTAAAGAGTCTCCAAAAGTTGTAGTTTGTGTAGTTTTAGATGCAAAAAATAAATTATTCCAAGGTTTTATTAATCAACTAAAATTGAAAAGAAAAATAATTATCTTTGTTTCTAAAACACAAGCTACAACGAAACGTCGAGAATACCTTTACCTAAAGAGTCTCCAAAAGTTGTAGTTTGTGTAGTTTTAGACGCAAAAATGAATTATTTCAAGGTTTTATAAATCAACTTAAATTGAAAAGAGAAATAATTATCTTTGTTTTTAAAACACAAGCTACAACGAAACGTCGAGAATACCTTTACCTAAAGAGTCTCCAAAAGTTGTAGTTTGTGTAGTTTTAGACGCAAAAATGAATTATTTCAAGGTTTTATAAATCAACTTAAATTGAAAAGAGAAATAATTATCTTTGTTTCTAAAACACAAGCTACAACGAAACGTCGAGAATACCTTTACCTAAAGAGTCTCCAAAAGTTGTAGTTTGTGTAGTTTTAGATGCAAAAAATAAATTATTCCAAGGTTTTATTAATCAACTAAAATTGAAAAGAGAAATAATTATCTTTGTTTCTAAAACACAAGCTACAACGAAACGTCGAGAATACCTTTACCTAAAGAGTCTCCAAAAGTTGTAGTTTGTGTAGTTTTAGACGCAAAAAATGAATTATTCCTTGGATTTATTAAACAACTAATATTGAAAAGAGAAATAATTATCTTTGTTTCTAAAACACAAGCTACAACGAAACGTCGAGAATACCTTTACCTAAAGAGTCTCCAAAAGTTGTAGTTTGTGTAGTTTTAGACGCAAAAATGAATTATTCCTTGGATTTATTAAACAACTAAATTGAAAAGAGAAATAATTATCTTTGTTTCTAAAACACAAGCTACAACGAAACGTCGAGAATACCTTTACCTAAAGAGTCTCCAAAAGTTGTAGTTTGTGTAGTTTTAGACGCAAAAATGAATTATTTCAAGGTTTTATAAATCAACTTAAATTGAAAAGAGAAATAATTATCTTTGTTTCTAAAACACAAGCTACAACGAAACGTCGAGAATACCTTTACCTAAAGAGTCTCCAAAAGTTGTAGTTTGTGTAGTTTTAGACACAAAAATGAATTATTTCAAGGTTTTATTAATCAACTAAATTGAAAAGAGAAATAATTATCTTTGTTTCTAAAACACAAGCTACAACGAAACGTCGAGAATACCTTTACCTAAAGAGTCTCCAAAAGTTGTAGTTTGTGTAGTTTTAGACGCAAAAATGAATTATTCCAAGGTTTTATAAATCAACTTAAATTGAAAAGAAAAATAATTATCTTTGTTTCTAAAACACAAGCTACAACGAAACGTCGAGAATACCTTTACCTAAAGAGTCTCCAAAAGTTGTAGTTTGTGTAGTTTTAGACGCAAAAATGAATTATTTCAAAGTTTTATAAATCAACTTAAATTGAAAAGAGAAATAATTTTCTTTGTTTCTAAAACACAGGCTACAACGAAACGTCGAGAATACCTTTACCTAAAGAGTCTCCAAAAGTTGTAGTTTGTGTAGCTTTAGATGCAAAAAATAAATTATTCCTTGGATTTATTAAACAACTAATATTGAAAAGAGAAATAATTATCTTTGTTTCTAAAACACAAGCTACAACGAAACGTCGAGAATACCTTTACCTAAAGAGTCTCCAAAAGTTGTAGTTTGTGTAGTTTTAGATGCAAAAAATAAATTATTCCTTGGATTTATTAAACAACTAATATTGAAAAGAGAAATAATTATCTTTGTTTCTAAAACACAAGCTACAACGAAACGTCGAGAATACCTTTACCTAAAGAGTCTCCAAAAGTTGTAGTTTGTGTAGTTTTAGATGCAAAAAATAAATTATTCCTTGGATTTATTAAACAACTAATATTGAAAAGAGAAATAATTATCTTTGTTTCTGAAACACAGGCTACAACGAAACGTCGAGAATACCTTTACCTAAAGAGTCTCCAAAAGTTGTAGTTTGTGTAGTTTTAGACGCAAAAATGAATTTTTTCAAGGTTTTATAAATCAACTTAAATTGAAAAGAGAAATAATTATCTTTGTTTCTAAAACACAAGCTACAACGAAACGTCGAGAATACCTTTACCTAAAGAGTCTCCAAAAGTTGTAGTTTGTGTAGTTTTAGACGCAAAAATGAATTATTTCAAGGTTTTATAAATCAACTTAAATTGAAAAGAGAAATAATTTTCTTTGTTTCTAAAACACAAGCTACAACGAAACGTCGAGAATACCTTTACCATAGAGCCTCCAAAAGTTGTAGTTTGTGTAGTTTTAGACACAAAAATGAATTATTTCAAGGTTTTATTAATCAACTAGAATTGAAAAGAGAAATAATTATCATTGTTTCTAAAACACAAGCTACAACGAAACGTCGAGAATACCTTTACCTAAAGAGTCTCCAAAAGTTGTAGTTTGTGTAGTTTTAGACGCAAAAATGAATTATTCCAAGGTTTTATAAATCAACTAAAATTGAAAAGAGAAATAATTATCTTTGTTTCTAAAACACAAGCTACAACGAAACGTCGAGAATACCTTTACCTAAAGAGTCTCCAAAAGTTGTAGTTTGTGTAGTTTTAGACGCAAAAATGAATTATTTCAAGGTTTTATAAATCAACTTAAATTGAAAAGAGAAATAATTTTCTTTGTTTCTAAAACACAGGCTACAACGAAACGTCGAGAATACCTTTACCTAAAGAGTCTCCAAAAGTTGTAGTTTGTGTAGCTTTAGATGCAAAAAATAAATTATTCCTTGGATTTATTAAACAACTAATATTGAAAAGAGAAATAATTATCTTTGTTTCTAAAACACAAGCTACAACGAAACGTCGAGAATACCTTTACCTAAAGAGTCTCCAAAAGTTGTAGTTTGTGTAGTTTTAGATGCAAAAAATAAATTATTCCTTGGATTTATTAAACAACTAATATTGAAAAGAGAAATAATTATCTTTGTTTCTAAAACACAGGCTACAACGAAACGTCGAGAATACCTTTACCTAAAGAGTCTCCAAAAGTTGTAGTTTGTGTAGTTTTAGACGCAAAAATGAATTATTTCAATGTTTTATAAATCAACTTAAATTGAAAAGAGAAATAATTTTCTTTGTTTCTAAAACACAGGCTACAACGAAACGTCGAGAATACCTTTACCATAGAGTCTCCAAAAGTTGTAGTTTGTGTAGTTTTAGACGCAAAAATGAATTTTTTCAAGGTTTTATAAATCAACTTAAATTGAAAAGAGAAATAATTATCTTTGTTTCTAAAACACAAGCTACAACGAAACGTCGAGAATACCTTTACCTAAAGAGTCTCCAAAAGTTGTAGTTTGTGTAGTTTTAGATGCAAAAAATAAATTATTCCTTTGATTTATTAAACAACTAATACTGAAAAGAGAAATAATTATCTTTGTTTCTAAAACACAAGCTACAACGAAACGTCGAGAATACCTTTACCTAAAGAGTCTCCAAAAGTTGTAGTTTGTGTAGTTTTAGACGCAAAAATGAATTATTTCAAGGTTTTATAAATCAACTTAAATTGAAAAGAGAAATAATTTTCTTTGTTTCTAAAACACAAGCTACAACGAAACGTCGAGAATACCTTTACCATAGAGCCTCCAAAAGTTGTAGTTTGTGTAGTTTTAGACACAAAAATGAATTATTTCAAGGTTTTATTAATCAACTAGAATTAAAAAGGGAAATTATTATCATTGTTTCTAATACACAAACTACAGCGTAACGTCGAGAATACCTTTACCTAAAGAGTCTCCAAAAGTTGTAGTTTGTGTAGTTTTAGATGCAAAAAATAAATTATTCCAAGGTTTTATTAATCAACTAAAATTGAAAAGAAAAATAATTATCTTTGTTTCTAAAACACAAGCTACAACGAAACGTCGAGAATACCTTTACCTAAAGAGTCTCCAAAAGTTGTAGTTTGTGTAGTTTTAGACGCAAAAATGAATTATTTCAATGTTTTATAAATCAACTTAAATTGAAAAGAGAAATAATTTTCTTTGTTTCTAAAACACAGGCTACAACGAAACGTCGAGAATACCTTTACCATAGAGTCTCCAAAAGTTGTAGTTTGTGTAGTTTTAGACGCAAAAATGAATTTTTTCAAGGTTTTATAAATCAACTTAAATTGAAAAGAGAAATAATTATCTTTGTTTCTAAAACACAAGCTACAACGAAACGTCGAGAATACCTTTACCTAAAGAGTCTCCAAAAGTTGTAGTTTGTGTAGTTTTAGATGCAAAAAATAAATTATTCCTTGGATTTATTAAACAACTAATATTGAAAAGAGAAATAATTATCTTTGTTTCTAAAACACAGGCTACAACGAAACGTCGAGAATACCTTTACCTAAAGAGTCTCCAAAAGTTGTAGTTTGTGTAGTTTTAGATGCAAAAAATAAATTATTCCTTGGATTTATTAAACAACTAATATTGAAAAGAGAAATAATTATCTTTGTTTCTAAAACACAGGCTACAACGAAACGTCGAGAATACCTTTACCTAAAGAGTCTCCAAAAGTTGTAGTTTGTGTAGTTTTAGAAGCAAGAAATAAATTATTCCTTGGATTTATTAAACAACTAATATTGAAAAGAGAAATAATTATCTTTGTTTCTAAAACACAAGCTACAACGAAACGTCGAGAATACCTTTACCTAAAGAGTCTCCAAATGTTGTAGTTTGTGTAGTTTTAGACGCAAAAATGAATTATTTCAAGGTTTTATAAATCAACTTAAATTGAAAAGAGAAATAATTATCTTTGTTTCTAAAACACAGGCTACAACGAAACGTCGAGAATACCTTTACCATAGAGTCTCCAAAAGTTGTAGTTTGTGTAGTTTTAGATGCAAAAAATAAATTATTCCTTGGATTTATTAAACAACTAATATTGAAAAGAGAAATAATTATCTTTGTTTCTAAAACACAGGCTACAACGAAACGTCGAGAATACCTTTACCATAGAGTCTCCAAAAGTTGTAGTTTGTGTAGTTTTAGACGCAAAAATGAATTTTTTCAAGGTTTTATAAATCAACTTAAATTGAAAAGAGAAATAATTATCTTTGTTTCTAAAACACAAGCTACAACGAAACGTCGAGAATACCTTTACCTAAAGAGTCTCCAAAAGTTGTAGTTTGTGTAGTTTTAGACGCAAAAATGAATTATTTCAAGGTTTTATAAATCAACTTAAATTCAAAAGAGAAATAATTATCTTTGTTTCTAAAACACAAGCTACAACGAAACGTCGAGAATACCTTTACCTAAAGAGTCTCCAAAAGTTGTAGTTTGTGTAGTTTTAGATGCAAAAAATAAATTATTCCTTGGATTTATTAAACAACTTATATTGAAAAGAGAAATAATTATCTTTGTTTCTAAAACACAAGCTACAACGAAACGTCGAGAATACCTTTACCTAAAGAGTCTCCAAAAGTTGTAGTTTGTGTAGTTTTAGATGCAAAAAATAAATTATTCCTTTGATTTATTAAACAACTAATACTGAAAAGAGAAATAATTATCTTTGTTTCTAAAACACAAGCTACAACGAAACGTCGAGAATACCTTTACCTAAAGAGTCTCCAAAAGTTGTAGTTTGTGTAGTTTTAGACGCAAAAATGAATTATTTCAAGGTTTTATAAATCAACTTAAATTGAAAAGAGAAATAATTATCTTTGTTTCTAAAACACAAGCTACAACGAAACGTCGAGAATACCTTTACCTAAAGAGTCTCCAAAAGTTGTAGTTTGTGTAGTTTTAGACGCAAAAATGAATTATTTCAAGGTTTTATAAATCAACTTAAATTGAAAAGAGAAATAATTTTCTTTGTTTCTAAAACACAAGCTACAACGAAACGTCGAGAATACCTTTACCATAGAGCCTCCAAAAGTTGTAGTTTGTGTAGTTTTAGACACAAAAATGAATTATTTCAAGGTTTTATTAATCAACTAGAATTAAAAAGGGAAATTATTATCATTGTTTCTAATACACAAACTACAGCGTAACGTCGAGAATACCTTTACCTAAAGAGTCTCCAAAAGTTGTAGTTTGTGTAGTTTTAGATGCAAAAAATAAATTATTCCAAGGTTTTATTAATCAACTAAAATTGAAAAGAAAAATAATTATCTTTGTTTCTAAAACACAAGCTACAACGAAACGTCGAGAATACCTTTACCTAAAGAGTCTCCAAAAGTTGTAGTTTGTGTAGTTTTAGACGCAAAAATGAATTATTTCAAGGTTTTATAAATCAACTTAAATTCAAAAGAGAAATAATTATCTTTGTTTCTCAAACACAAGCTACAACGAAACGTCGAGAATACCTTTACCTAAAGAGTCTCCAAAAGTTGTAGTTTGTGTAGTTTTAGACGCAAAAATGAATTATTTCAAAGTTTTATAAATCAACTTAAATTGAAAAGAGAAATAATTTTCTTTGTTTCTAAAACACAGGCTACAACGAAACGTCGAGAATACCTTTACCTAAAGAGTCTCCAAAAGTTGTAGTTTGTGTAGCTTTAGATGCAAAAAATAAATTATTCCTTGGATTTATTAAACAACTAATATTGAAAAGAGAAATAATTATCTTTGTTTCTAAAACACAGGCTACAACGAAACGTCGAGAATACCTTTACCTAAAGAGTCTCCAAAAGTTGTAGTTTGTGTAGCTTTAGATGCAAAAAATAAATTATTCCTTGGATTTATTAAACAACTAATATTGAAAAGAGAAATAATTATCTTTGTTTCTAAAACACAAGCTACAACGAAACGTCGAGAATACCTTTACCTAAAGAGTCTCCAAAAGTTGTAGTTTGTGTAGTTTTAGATGCAAAAAATAAATTATTCCTTGGATTTATTAAACAACTAATATTGAAAAGAGAAATAATTATCTTTGTTTCTAAAACACAAGCTACAACGAAACGTCGAGAATACCTTTACCTAAAGAGTCTTCAAATGTTGTAGTTTGTGTAGTTTTAGACGCAAAAATGAATTATTTCAAGGTTTTATAAATCAACTTAAATTGAAAAGAGAAATAATTATCTTTGTTTCTAAAACACAGGCTACAACGAAACGTCGAGAATACCTTTACCTAAAGAGTCTCCAAAAGTTGTAGTTTGTGTAGTTTTAGATGCAAAAAATAAATTATTCCTTGGATTTATTAAACAACTAATATTGAAAAGAGAAATAATTATCTTTGTTTCTAAAACACAGGCTACAACGAAACGTCGAGAATACCTTTACCATAGAGTCTCCAAAAGTTGTAGTTTGTGTAGGTTTAGACGCAAAAATGAATTATTTCAAGGTTTTATTAATCAACTAGAATTAAAAAGGGAAATTATTATCATTGTTTCTAATACACAAACTACAGCGTAACGTCGAGAATACCTTTACCATAGAGTCTCCAAAAGTTGTAGTTTGTGTAGTTTTAGACGCAAAAATGAATTTTTTCAAGGTTTTATAAATCAACTTAAATTGAAAAGAGAAATAATTATCTTTGTTTCTAAAACACAAGCTACAACGAAACGTCGAGAATACCTTTACCTAAAGAGTCTCCAAAAGTTGTAGTTTGTGTAGTTTTAGATGCAAAAAATAAATTATTCCTTGGATTTATTAAACAACTAATATTGAAAAGAGAAATAATTATCTTTGTTTCTAAAACACAGGCTACAACGAAACGTCGAGAATACCTTTACCTAAAGAGTCTCCAAAAGTTGTAGTTTGTGTAGTTTTAGATGCAAAAAATAAATTATTCCTTGGATTTATTAAACAACTAATATTGAAAAGAGAAATAATTATCTTTGTTTCTAAAACACAGGCTACAACGAAACGTCGAGAATACCTTTACCTAAAGAGTCTCCAAAAGTTGTAGTTTGTGTAGTTTTAGACGCAAAAATGAATTATTTCAATGTTTTATAAATCAACTTAAATTGAAAAGAGAAATAATTTTCTTTGTTTCTAAAACACAGGCTACAACGAAACGTCGAGAATACCTTTACCATAGAGTCTCCAAAAGTTGTAGTTTGTGTAGTTTTAGACGCAAAAATGAATTTTTTCAAGGTTTTATAAATCAACTTAAATTGAAAAGAGAAATAATTATCTTTGTTTCTAAAACACAAGCTACAACGAAACGTCGAGAATACCTTTACCTAAAGAGTCTCCAAAAGTTGTAGTTTGTGTAGTTTTAGATGCAAAAAATAAATTATTCCTTGGATTTATTAAACAACTAATATTGAAAAGAGAAATAATTATCTTTGTTTCTAAAACACAGGCTACAACGAAACGTCGAGAATACCTTTACCTAAAGAGTCTCCAAAAGTTGTAGTTTGTGTAGTTTTAGATGCAAAAAATAAATTATTCCTTGGATTTATTAAACAACTAATATTGAAAAGAGAAATAATTATCTTTGTTTCTAAAACACAGGCTACAACGAAACGTCGAGAATACCTTTACCTAAAGAGTCTCCAAAAGTTGTAGTTTGTGTAGTTTTAGACGCAAAAATGAATTATTTCAATGTTTTATAAATCAACTTAAATTGAAAAGAGAAATAATTTTCTTTGTTTCTAAAACACAGGCTACAACGAAACGTCGAGAATACCTTTACCATAGAGTCTCCAAAAGTTGTAGTTTGTGTAGTTTTAGACGCAAAAATGAATTTTTTCAAGGTTTTATAAATCAACTTAAATTGAAAAGAGAAATAATTATCTTTGTTTCTAAAACACAAGCTACAACGAAACGTCGAGAATACCTTTACCTAAAGAGTCTCCAAAAGTTGTAGTTTGTGTAGTTTTAGATGCAAAAAATAAATTATTCCTTGGATTTATTAAACAACTAATATTGAAAAGAGAAATAATTATCTTTGTTTCTAAAACACAAGCTACAACGAAACGTCGAGAATACCTTTACCTAAAGAGTCTCCAAAAGTTGTAGTTTGTGTAGTTTTAGATGCAAAAAATAAATTATTCCTTGGATTTATTAAACAACTAATATTGAAAAGAGAAATAATTATCTTTGTTTCTAAAACACAGGCTACAACGAAACGTCGAGAATACCTTTACCTAAAGAGTCTCCAAAAGTTGTAGTTTGTGTAGTTTTAGATGCAAAAAATAAATTATTCCTTGGATTTATTAAACAACTAATATTGAAAAGAGAAATAATTATCTTTGTTTCTAAAACACAGGCTACAACGAAACGTCGAGAATACCTTTACCTAAAGAGTCTCCAAAAGTTGTAGTTTGTGTAGTTTTAGACGCAAAAATGAATTATTCCTTGGATTTATTAAACAACTAATATTGAAAAGAGAAATAATTATCTTTGTTTCTAAAACACAAGCTACAACGAAACGTCGAGAATACCTTTACCTAAAGAGTCTCCAAAAGTTGTAGTTTGTGTAGTTTTAGATGCAAAAAATAAATTATTCCAAGGTTTTATTAATCAACTAAAATTGAAAAGAAAAATAATTATCTTCGTTTCTAAAACACAAGCTACAACGAAACGTCGAGAATACCTTTGCCTAAAGAGTCTCCAAAAGTTGTAGTTTGTGTAGTTTTAGATGCAAAAAATAAATTATTCCTTGGATTTATTAAACAACTAATATTGAAAAGAGAAATAATTATCTTTGTTTCTAAAACACAGGCTACAACGAAACGTCGAGAATACCTTTACCTAAAGAGTCTCCAAAAGTTGTAGTTTGTGTAGTTTTAGATGCAAAAAATAAATTATTCCTTGGATTTATTAAACAACTAATATTGAAAAGAGAAATAATTATCTTTGTTTCTAAAACACAAGCTACAACGAAACGTCGAGAATACCTTTACCTAAAGAGTCTCCAAAAGTTGTAGTTTGTGTAGTTTTAGACGCAAAAATGAATTATTTCAATGTTTTATAAATCAACTTAAATTGAAAAGAGAAATAATTTTCTTTGTTTCTAAAACACAGGCTACAACGAAACGTTGAGAATACCTTTACCATAGAGTCTCCAAAAGTTGTAGTTTGTGTAGTTTTAGACGCAAAAATGAATTTTTTCAAGGTTTTATAAATCAACTTAAATTGAAAAGAGAAATAATTATCTTTGTTTCTAAAACACAAGCTACAACGAAACGTCGAGAATACCTTTACCTAAAGAGTCTCCAAAAGTTGTAGTTTGTGTAGTTTTAGACGCAAAAATGAATTTTTTCAAGGTTTTATAAATCAACTTAAATTGAAAAGAGAAATAATTTTCTTTGTTTCTAAAACACAGGCTACAACGAAACGTCGAGAATACCTTTACCTAAAGAGTCTCCAAAAGTTGTAGTTTGTGTAGTTTTAGACGCAAAAATGAATTATTCCTTGGATTTATTAAACAACTAATATTGAAAAGAGAAATAATTATCTTTGTTTCTAAAACACAAGCTACAACGAAACGTCGAGAATACCTTTACCTAAAGAGTCTCCAAAAGTTGTAGTTTGTGTAGTTTTAGATGCAAAAAATAAATTATTCCAAGGTTTTATTAATCAACTAAAATTGAAAAGAAAAATAATTATCTTCGTTTCTAAAACACAAGCTACAACGAAACGTCGAGAATACCTTTACCTAAAGAGTCTCCAAAAGTTGTAGTTTGTGTAGTTTTAGACGCAAAAATGAATTATTCCTTGGATTTATTAAACAACTAATATTGAAAAGAGAAATAATTATCTTTGTTTCTAAAACACAAGCTACAACGAAACGTCGAGAATACCTTTACCTAAAGAGTCTCCAAAAGTTGTAGTTTGTGTAGTTTTAGACGCAAAAATGAATTATTCCTTGGATTTATTAAACAACTAATATTGAAAAGAGAAATAATTATCTTTGTTTCTAAAACCCAAGCTGCAACAAAACGTTGAGAATACCTTCAGCTGAAGAGTCTCGAAAGTTTATAGTTTTTGTAGTTTTAGGTGCATAAATGATCATTCTGAAGTTTAATTATGCAATAAAAATTTGATAATATCTTTTCTTAAATTGTCTATTTAAAATTACACATAGTTTCAATCATATCACTTGTGATAACATTTGTAAATTAAGCTGCATAGATTAAATATTTATTAACACTTACCTTTGAAAGCATACAATTATTTTTGAGATTTAATTTGCACTGCACTAACAGTATTCTGAAATATGAGAAATGTAATCAAAAACGCGTATAAATAAAATCTTTTTCATATTTAATTTCTAATATGCACAACATGTTAATCTAATATGTATTTGAAAATCAAATTTTATTATTCGTAATACGTGAAATTGAAAAATAAAATAAAACATTGAAGAAGTAACTTCGTTTTTCAATTAAAGTTATCGCGCATCAATCCACAGCATTTTATTTTTTGATTAAATAAAATTACCAACCTGTGTTCGTTTAACATGTAAAAAAATGACATGACTTTTACGCATTAATTAACATCATAGACAGTTACTCTGGACTTTTACATTTGTGAACGCGTAAATACCAAAATATGTTTCAAAAGCCTCTTTTTCCAAAAATTTTTTTAACAAAATATTTTTGAGAAAGGATTATAAACAATTAATTTTTAAAACTAAAATTTTAAAAAAAAATTTAATAAAAACAAATTTTAGAGAGAAAATTTTAGAAAATGTAAAATTAAAAAAATGACCCAAAAAAAATTTTACAAAAAGAAATTGATTTCAAAAACATTTTCTAAGCAAAAAAAAAATTAATGAAAAAAAATAAAAAAAATAAATTTTAAATACAAAAGTTATTAAAAAAATTTAGGAAAAAAGATAAAAAAAAAAAAAAAAAAATTTCGAAAAAAAAAAAAAAAAATTTTGAAAAAAAAAAAAAAAATTTTGAAAAAAAAAAAAAAAAAAAAAAAAAAAAAAAATTTCGAAAAAAAAAAAATAAAAAAAAAAAAAAAAAAATTACAAAAAAAAAATCAAAGAAAAATTTTGTTTTATGAAAAAAAATTTCATGAAAGAAAAAAAATATAATTACAAAAAAAAGAAATGTTTTTTTAGAGACTGATTTTTCTCTTTATATAACAATTTTTTTTTGTGTCTAATTTGTATTGTCTCCTTTAAATATACTTGGAATTTCAAAGTTTTCTATTTCTAGCAATTCTAATTTCAAAGGCTTTAAGTTCCAAGTTTTATAAGACTACTGGAAGCTTTGAAAGCTAAGCTCTTTAAATTTTAAATTATTTTTTCTAAATTCAAATTTTAAATAACATTTCAAAAAAAAAGAAACGAAATAAAAAATTTTACATAAAAAAATATTTAAAAAAATATAAATAATACTAAAAATAAAATACTATTAATAAAACAAAATATTATCATTAATAAATAATAGAATTTCTAAAGCGTTGAGTGAAAGCAACAAAAATTTTAATTACTTCCCTCTTTGACGAATTAATTAAGCGAGATCAAAAAGAAAAAATTTTATTTAAAAAAAAAAGATAGAATAGTTTATCAAAATTTTTTTTCTCTAAATTTTTTTGCATAATTAATTTTTAATTTATTTAATTAATTTTTAATAATTTATTTTTACATAATTTGTAGTAATTTTTCATCTCCCTTTTTTCTATATTGTTAATAAAAAAAAAACGATTTTTTTCAAACAATTCACATTCCCTTCTTTTATTATAATTAAATATTTGTTATTTATAAATTATTATTAAATTTACTCCGTACTTTTAATTAAATTTTTTTTTCTTTATTTGTTAAAAAATACTTTTTTCTGCATTTGCAAAAAAAAAAAAAAACATTTTAATGGTCTCTGTGTTTGTAAAATAATTAGACTTAATTTGAATATCAACAAATTTTATATTATGGATCTTATCTTTGTGAAATTATCAAGCGCCACACAAAATTGTTTGTAACGAGTAAAAGCGCCTTATCGACTAGATCAAAGTAAACCCCCTTTGGTGCCAATGTCAAGTAAAGTGATCAATATGTAATGTTAGGCTAATAGCCAATTTCCTGAAATGCTTCAACTATATGCACAATAAAATACAAGAACTTATGCCAAGATTGTTATAGGTCGAAGATCTTTAATGTTTACTTTAAAAAAAAATCAACAAATTTTTTTTTAACTAATTTAAAAAATTTTTTTTCAATTTGTAATAATTTTTTAATAAATTAACTTTATTTTACATTATTATTATTTATTTATTTACAGGAGTAAATATATATTAATTTATTATTATTATTTAATTTTTTAGTGGTAAATATTAATAATTGAATAATAATAATAAATATAATAATAATAATAAAATAATAATAATTAAATAATAATTAAATAATAATTAAATATTTATTTATTTATTTACAGTAGTAAAAAAATATTGGTCTTTTTTTGTTAATTACAAAAGTAAAAATACATTTATTAAACTTACTTTATTTTACAGAATTATTATTTACATTTACAATTTAAAATAATAAATTCAATACATGTAAATAAATAAATAAATAAAATATATAATATAAAAATAAATTAATTGAAAATAAAATAAAAATCTCTCTATCATATAAAAATTGGTTCAAGTTGAATAACAGTCGATCAGAAATATAATAATTGTCCAACATTATTTTCATCACAATTTGCCGTGGTTGGAGGGAAAAAAAAAAATAAATAAATATAAAAAAAAAAATGTTGTAAAACAGATCGATATAGTGGCGTAATAGTAGGTAGTGCAGCCTTTACTCGATGTCAATTTCGCTCGATTTCAAAGTTTGCTAACGGGTCAAATGTCAACCCCCCCCCCCCCTACAACCCCCTTTAGAAGACCGATATCAGAAAAGCGCTCTCCGGACATTTATTTATTATACGTCAGACAGGTTTCCTCGGTGATATTACCACAAGTCTGAGAGAGAGAAAGAGAGAGAAAAAAGGGGAACACGTTTTTTTTTCACGGTTAAACTTCATTTTACTCCATGCGATATATTTTCATGACAATCATCGTGTCTCGTTTATGGACATTTATTAAAAATTATCGTTTTCTCCCTTGATAAATATATTGAAAAAAAAAAATTATTTTTCATTTTATTGGACGAGACAAAAAATAAAATATCAAAAAAAAAGAAAATTGTTTTGCAAAATTAGTAAAAATAATAAATCATGATAAAAAAATAATAAATAATAAATATTAATAAACAATAATAAATAATATTAAAGAAATAATAAATGATACTAAATAATATTCAATAATAATAATAAAAAATTATAAAAAATTATAAATAATAATAAATAATAATAAATATTAATAAATAATACTAAATAGTACTAAATAATACTAAATAGTACTAAATAATAATAAATAATACTAAATAGTACTAAATAATACTAAATAGTACTAAATAGTACTAAATAATAATAAATAATACTAAATAGTACTAAATAATACTAAATAATACTAAATAATACTAAATAATATACTAAATAATACTAAATAATATTAAATAATAATAAACAATAATAAATAATAATAAAATAAGAATAAAAATTAATAGTAATAAATATTGTGTAAGTAAACAAAAAAAAAATGGCAAGTGAATTTTTTTTTTTGGTTTTGAAAATAATAATTAATAAATTTGACTTTTTTTGATATTATTTTTCGAAAAAAAAAAAAAAATTTCTACATTTATGAAAGTAAAATATATTCCCTGTACTAATTTTAACATGGATTATTTTACAATTCACGCTCGGGTCGTTTTAATTAATTCGTATATATGGTACATTTTAAAGCCACATTGTTCTTTCGAGGGTTTCAATTCAAAAGCATGTAAATTGTACGGTTTCGGTCTATATTTTGAGCCACACTTGAGTGCTGTAATTTTGAAAGGGTTCTAATTCCAAACTTATGTTATTAATCAACTACATTTATAGTATTAAAGCATTTAAAAAAAAACAGAAGGAAAAAAAATTCAGTTTTCACTCTTTTTTTAAATATTATATTAAAATTTAAAAAACAATTTTAAAAATCACAAAAAATTGAAATAAATAAAAATAATAAAAATAAATAAATTTTTTATATTTTATAATTCTCTCTAAATCTGAATTAGTAAAAATGTTTACTAATTTGAATTAGTGACTCACTTTTTGCTTCTGAATTAGTAAAATTTTACTAATTATTAGTAACTTTTACTAACAATTAGTAAAATTTTACTAATTCTGAAGCAAAAAGTGAGTCACTAATTCAAATTAGTAAACATTTTTACTAATTCAGATTTAGAGAGTTGATAATTTTTTTCCAATTCTAATAAATATTTATTTTTCCTAAAATTGTTATTAATTTAAATTTTTGAATATAAAATTTTTTTTTTTGGGAGAAATAAAAAAAAATTTTTTTTTTCCAGTCTCAGAATTTGCCCAAGAATTGGGTGGGGCAATGGAATCACATTCAGCTAATGTTCGTCGTCTTGTTGACGATTTTCGAAATCGAGCTGGCGATACAAGAGATTCTAGTGGAATGCGACGAGTTTGGGAAAATTTGTTACGACAAGTTGAAGCCGATGCAACAACACATCTCGATCTTGCTGGACTTTTACAACAACAAATATCGAGACCCACCTCGGAAGCCAGTTTTCATCGAAAAGTTCAATCGAGAAAGGTTCATAATAACAAAAATTTATTATTTATTTATTTAATATTAATTTTATATGTAATAAATAAAATTTTATTTGCAATAAATAAAATTTTTAATTAAAAAAATTTATACGCAACAAAAAAATAATTTATTTGAAGTGAATAAATAATTTTATTTGCAATAAATAAAATTTTTAATTAAAAAATTATTTATTCGCAACAAATAAATATTTATTTGGCGTGAATAAAAATTTTATTTACAATAAATAAAATTTTTAATTAAAAAAAATTTGTTCGCAACAAATAAATATTTATTTATTGCAAATAAATAATTTTATTTGCAATAAATAAAATTTTTAATTAAAAAAATTTATTCGCAACAAATAAATATTTATTTGCCTCTGATATATAATTTCCCTACATTCAAAGAAATATTTTATTTGAACCAAATATAATATATTTGAATTAAGTAAATAAATTGTAAATTTATCTCAGAGCCTATTTATTTGGCGTAAATAAAAAATTTATTTGCCATAAATATATTTATTTGGCTCTAATATAAATTTTTTCTGTCTGTGAATTTAAAAAAAAAAAAATTACAAATTTAATTTTGAAAATAATTTATATGAAAAAAATTTTTTTTTTTTTTTTTTGATGAAAATTCTTTTGCAGATATTTGCACATCGTGAGGCTTACGAGCAGGTAGTGAGCAAGACCGAGGAGAAATTGCAAAGGGCAAGAACAGATTACAAGCGGACTTATGCGGCTTTATTGAATAGTGAGAGTGGAAATGATCAAGAATTGAAGAGAGCCTATCTTGAGGCACACAATGCTTATGTACTTCAATTGAGAGCAACAAATGCAATCACCGAACGCTATCAATATCAATGCCTACCAAGTTTATTGAATGAAATTGCTGAGGTCTATGAGGAATTATGTGGACTTGCATGTAACTGTATTGCCGGTATTTCAGACGCTGCCGGTGAACGTTCATTAGAGCAATCGAAACGTTTTCAAAATGTCACAAAAGAAGCGCGTGCCATTTCATCGCAAAATGATTTACAAGTAAATTTTTGTATTTTATACACTGAGAAAAAAAAATTTATTTCAGTTTCAAAAATTATTTTTATTTTATTAATTATTATCAAATTTTTATTTTTTAAATTGAAATTTAATATAGAATTGCTTTTTATACGAATTTTTACTTAAAAATTTTTAGCTACGGAATTTTTGTCATTCAATCGAATTTTTTTTAATTGACAGAAATTTCAATTCACCGAACTTTAATTTGTCCGAATTTTTATTTGTACGATTTTTTATGTCGTGGAATTTTCATTTGTCCAAATTTTTATTTGTACGAATCTTTAGTCAATAGAATTTTTAAGACGCGGAATTTTAATTTGTCCGAATTTTTATTTGTACCAACTTTTAGTTAATAGAATTTTTAAGACGCGGAATTTTAATTTGCCCAAAACATTAATTTGTTCGAATTTTTATTTGTACGAATTTTTAAGACGCGGAATTTTAATTTGTCCAAATTTTTATTTGTACGAATTTTTAGTTAATAGAATTTTTAAGACGCGGAATTTTAATTTGTATGAATTTTTGAAACGCGGAATTTTTATTTCTACGAATTTTTAAGACGCGGAATTTTAATTTGTCCAAATTTTTATTTGTACGAATTTTTAGTTAATAGAATTTTTAAGACGCGGAATTTTAATTTGTCTGAATTTTTGAAACGCGGAATTTTTATTTCTACGAATTTTTAAGACGCGGAATTTTAATTTGTCCGAATTTTTAATATGCGGAATTTTAATTTGTACGAATTTTTAGGTAATAGAATTTTTAAGACGTAAAATTTCAATTTGTCTGCAATTTTATTTGTACGAATTTTCAAAACGCGGAATTTTCATTTGTCCGAATTTTCAAGACGCGGAAATTTTAAATTGTCTGAATTTTTATTTGTACGAATTTTTAAGACGCGGAATTTTCATTTGTCCAAATTTTTATTTCTACGAATTTTTAGTTAATAGAATTTTTAAGACGCGGAATTTTAATTTGTCTGAATTTTTAAAACGCGGAATTTTTATTTCTACGAATTTTTAAGACGCGTAATTTTAATTTGTCCGAATTTTTATTTGTACGAATTTTTAGTTAAAAGAATTTTTAAGACGCGTGATTTTAATTTTCCCGAATTAAAAATTCGTACAAATTAAAATTCAGCGTATTAAAAATTCGTAGAAATAAAAAAGCGCGAAATAAAAAATCAGATAAATTAAAATTCCGCGTCTTAAAAATTCTATTAACTAAAGATTCGTGCAAATGAAAATTTGGACAAATGAAAATTCCGGGTCCTAATAATTCGTACAAATAAAAATTCGAACAAATTAAAGTTGGGGCAAATTAAAATTCCGCGTATTAAAAATTCGTAGAAATAAAAATCCGCGAAATAAAAATTCAAATAAATTAAAATTCCGCGTCTTAAAAATTCTATTAACTAAAGATTCGTGCAAATGAAAATTTGGACAAATGAAAATTCCGCGTCCTAATAATTCGTACAAATAAAAAATCGAACAAATTAAAGTTGGGGCAAATTAAAATTCCGCGTATTAAAAATTCGGCTAAATTAAAATTCCGCGTCTTAAAATTCGTAGAAATAAAAATTCCACGTTTCAAAAACTCAGACAAATTAAAATTCCGCGTCTTAAAAATTCTATTAACTAAAAATTCGTATAAATAAAAATTTTGACAAATGAAAATTCCGCGTCTTAGAAATTCGTACAAATTAAAATTCCGCGTATTAAAAATTCGGACAAATTAAAAATTTTATTTCTACGAATTTTTAAGACGCGGAATTTTAATTTGTCTGAGTTTTTGAAACGCGGAATTTTTATTCCTTAATTTACCTCTTAAAAATTCTATTACCTAAAAATTCGTACAAATTAAAATTCCGCGTCTTAAAAAATCTATCAATAAAAAATTCAGACAAATGATAATTCCACCACGTTTTAAAAATTCTATTAATTAAAAATTCGTATTAATAAAAATTCGAATAAATTAAAATTCTTTAAATTAAAAAAAAAATTATTGTAAATAATTTTTGCGTAACAAAAAATTTGGTAAAAAAATTAGGTAAAAAATTTTTTTATGTAAAAATTTATAATTAGTTCGATGATATATAAAAGGATTAGCATAATAATATTCTAATTTTGGGAGGGTAAAACTTTTCCCTAATATATGTATGAAAAAATTCTATTAAGGTTTTGGCGCGAAGTTTGTCATCTGCAGCAACTGTACGAAAACCACCACGTCGCCTCTTCGTGTCTCCAGCTCCACCAGATCAGGTGCCAGTTGAGAGGCTAAATCAAGTTCCTACATTACGGGACGAGTTGGTACCAACCGGAACCAGTACCCTACCTTTGATGGATGATTTGCATAGAGAATCTGAAAGTTTGACACAGGAGATTGGACGTCTACAGGATGCCCTTGAGGCACTAACTCGAATGCAACGAAAGTAAGTCTAAACGATTGCGTAGACGAAAATTATTTTAATATTATGCAAATTTATATTTATCACTGCCATTTTTTTTTTTTTTTTTTTTTTTAATTCAAAGATGAAAATTAAATTTGAATTTCTATTTTTAATTAATTAATTGACCACCAATTTAAATTAATTATTAATTAATTTGGATTTAATTTAATTTGATTAATTAAAAATTAATTAATTTAATTGAAACTAGTAGGATAAAAATTTTGTTAAATTTTCTTTTTCGGGAGAGAATAAACTAACAAAATGCAAAAAGAAAATTTAATTGGAACTATTTTAAAGAAATATAAATATCCTACTCGTCATATAAGTTGGAAAAAAAATTATTTCCTCGATTTTTGTAAAATATGAAACGCTTTGTGGGGGATAAAAGAGTCAAGAGGCAATGCCACAGTCACAAAGACTCTTTTATATAATATCAGAGTTTTCTCTCTCCCTCGAGAATTTATATTCACCTACTACAACATATACATGTATATATAAATATTAAATATATATATATATAAGCTTTGACTGAGAAATATACATATTCCCTGGTTCATCATAAATTAATTTATATTTCCATTGAAAAATATTATCCATCTTCTTATATACCATTGAACGTCTAATCTTTTACAATCAAAAATAAAAGATCTCTCTTTCTCTCTATTAAAATATTTTAACATTAAAACTAAAAAAAAGGGAAAAAATTTTTTTATTTTTTTCTTGTATAAAAAAAATTTATTTTCATTAATATTAAATATGAATATATATAAAATAGAATTATTAATTTTTTTTTAAATTAACTAAAACTATTATATATCTATGGGAAAAATTTATTTTTGAAGAAAAATATAATTTCTTTTATAAAACGAATCTTTGATTCAAAGAAAATTTATTCTGTGAATATTTTTCTTTGATCTGTAACGTTTCCTTTGGTCCTGTTATTATATATATAGAGAGAGAAAAAAAAGAGAGAGAGAGAAAGATCTTGTAAGAAATAAATGTACGCAAAATTCAATATCTATATATCGTGAATTTTTTTTTTTTTTCTTATAACTTTCTTTCAATCACTCTGGAATTCCATATCAAAGTCGAAAAAAATTCGATTTACTTTTTTTTGCTTATAGAAGCGTGGAAGGAAACGTTCACACCAAAATTGCTGAGCTTCAGGAAGATATTTCAATGAAACGCTTTGATCTAGGTGTTGCACAACTTCATCTAGCTGCTATACAAGCTCAGGTAAGAATTCTTTTGTTTTTTTTTCTATTTTTTAATTCAAATCGAAAAAATTTGGAAAAATTTTAATTATTTATTTTCAATTCAATATAATTTATTTTAAAATAAATTTTAAATTTTAAATTAAAAAACAAAAAAACCAAAAAATTGTTTACAAAATTAAAATAAAAAAATTCACATATAAAAAAGTGAAATAAAATTTAAAAAAATCAATTATATACAAAAATTTAAAAAAATTAAAATATATAAAAAAAATGAAATAAAATAAAAAAAAATATAAAAAATAAAATAGGAATTTTAATTTGTCCAAATTTTTATTTGTACGAATTTTTAGTTAATAGAATTTTTAAAACGCGGAATTTTAATTTGTCTGAATTTTTGAAACGCGGAATTTTTATTTCTACGAATTTTTAAGACGCGGAATTTTAAATTGCCCCAACTTTAATTTGTTCGAATTTTTATTTGTACAAATATTTAAGACGCGGAATTTTCATTTGTCCAAATTTTTATTTGTACGAATTTTTAATTAATAGAATTTTTAAAACGCGGAATTTTTATTTCTACGAATTTTTAAGACGCGGAATTTTAATTTGTCCGAATTTTTAAGACGTGGAATTTTTATTTGTCCAAATTTTTATTTGTATCAACTTTTAGTTAATAGAATTTTTAAGACGCGGAATTTTAATTTGTCTGAATTTTTGAAACGCGGAATTTTTATTTCTACGAATTTTTAAGACGCGGAATTTTGAATTGCCCCAACTTTAAAAAATTTTAAAAAATTAATTATACATACAAAAATTAAAAAAATTAAAATATATATAAAAAAATGAAATAAAAATAAAAAAATATATAAAAAATAAAATAGTTACAATAAAAAAATGAAATAAAATATAAAAAATTGAAATAGATAAAGTTAAAAAATATAAAAAAATAAATAAACAAAAATTGCAAACATTTAATTTTTTTTTTTTTTTTTTTTTTTGCAAAACTGGTAATTTGCGTAAAAGAAAAGTTTATAAACTCAACTGAAATCTAATGCACAATCAGAAGTGTTCTGGAAATATGTCACGTGATCAGGTGAACTGATGGTGACGATAAATCAAAGTTTCTCCCATGTTTTATATATATATATATACACGTTGTCAGGTTAAACTTTTCCAAGTTGTTTTGAAAGTAAAACTTTTTCTACCTTTCATAAAGTTATCTGAGAAGATATTTTTTCCTCCATTACTTGTGTTCCATTTTGTTACTCATTCTCGTTTTTCTTTACTTGTCTCTAAAACATCAAGAAAGCGGCAAAACGTCAACGTTATTATTTATTTGCAATTTTTCAAAAAAAAGCCCCTCCGAAAAAAAATGGAAGAAAAACTTTTCCAAAGTGTTCAATGCATAAAAATGTCACTTTTTGTTGGGAAATTTGTTTCACATTTTACTTATTAATATTTATTACAATTATATTTATTTATTATAATAATAATAATTAAAAAAAAAATTAAAATATTATTACAAATATTAAAATAATAATAATAATAATAATAAAACATCATTTACCTACTAAATTAAATAATAATAATAATAATTATAATAATTATAATAATAATAATAATAATATTAATAATTATAATAATAGTAATAAGTAAAATTATCATCACACTTATGTAACGTTGAATTTTTTTTTCGTCAACCATTTTTCAATTACGTAAAAGGATTTTTGCATATTTATAAAAGAATGACATTCCAAGGATAAATAATTTATTTTTCTAAAGAAATATTTTTTTCTAGAAGAAACTAAAATTGAAAAAAATTATTCACTTTGACGATTACGACAAAAGAAAATTATTTAAAATTGCTTATATAAACTTTCTGGGAATTTAATATCAAAAATTGTTGATAAAAGAAGTTTTGCAAAAAAGTTTAAGAAATTCTCTCACATTTTCCTTGATGTCACTGCTTGTTTATATCTCCAATTTTTCATATAATTTTTTTTCTCTCTCTCTCTCTCTCCCTTTTTTTTGCTACAAATTGTAATTTATTATTAATTAATTATTAATAATTAATTAATTTTATGTAAAAAAAAAAACAATAATAATCAACAAATTTTTGGGAAATAAAAAAAAGTTTATTCAAGTCAATTTAAAAAAAAGGAGAAAAAAAATTAAACTCACATTTATGGTGAATCCTTCGAAGATAAGATCTGCAAAAAGAAAAAAAATTTTTTTTTTTTAAAATTCATTTTATTTTTTATTTAGTATTTATTTTGTATTTATATTAGGGAAAAAATTAGAATAAACTGACAATAATTTCCAAACAATTAAATTTATATTTTTTTTTGAAGTACAAATGCACTTGACATTTTATTTTATTTTTTTTATATATAAATAAAATTGTCATTTGCGATATTGTACGATAATATTCATGATGAGAATTATTATTTTGATAACATTCTACAGTTGTGTATGAAATACATCAGTCTCCTTCATCTGAACCAACACGTAATGCATTTCAAATATCTCATCCTTTGCCAAACACATGACATATGAAATTTATTTGATTGCTTCGCCACGAAAAAAACACTATTTCATCCCTTTTCGAATACAAATTAAAATGCACTTAAATTTATATGTGTTTAAAAAAATTTTTTTTTGAAATTTATTTTTACAAATAAAAAAATTTTTTTTTTCAAATTTATTTTTAGACAAATAAAAAATTCGCAAATTTATTTTTATACCAATTTTTTTTTTTCAAAACTCAACAAAGTATAAATAATAAAACCTATTTTTGAAATAAAAATAATTAAGTTATGAAATTTTTTAGGGAAAAAAATAATTTTTTTTTCATCCAAAGAGACTAATAAATTTTGATATTATATAAATAATATAGATATTTTAAAGTACTTGAAACTAAATATAATTTAATGGCTCGTATTTAATCTAGCTCTGTGTAACTCACTGTAATTTAACGCTCCAGTGAAATTAGTTCTGATTATTTTGAATTACCTGCCGTTTAGGAAGCAACCCAACAATTTATTCTCATTTAAACTAAAATCATGCTTCAAAATTGCAAATACATTCTAATTATATATTGTTTTGAAATTATTTTCAAAACTAATAAAAGCATTATTAATTCTTATATAAAAACGATTCATCATTTTATAATGAGAATTCAAAATTTCAATGGTCTCTTCATTTTCTGAATTAAAAGGGTTACGATAATAATAACAATAATAATTAAAAATAAATTATTAAATAATTGAATATATTTTAATATTATTATTACTATTATTATTATTATTATTATTATTATTTATTATTTTTTTTAATTTTTATTATTATTATTTATTATTTTTTTAATTTTTATTATTATTATTACTATTATTTTATATAATTTTCATCATCAGAAATAATTGATTGATGCTTGAAAATTTACGTGACAATTTCGTGTTTTTTTCTCAAACAAAAAAGTGTTGAGTGTATAACAAAAAGAGAAACAAACAAAACAAAACAAAAAAAAAAAAAAAAGAAAAGAGAAATAATGTCTACATAGCACAGTTCGAACGATGCTGAAACAATGGCTCGAAAAGCTTTCGGCTTTGCTTCTTATGAGTTGAGCCCGATTAAAATTAGCTCGCAACACTCTCTTTGCCCTCCACCACTAATTTTTATATAAATTCTTTTACATATATATTAAATGAAAAATTTATTTAAAAAAAAAAAAAAAAATTTTTTTGCTGATAAAATTAATTAAATGCCGTTCACAAAAAAAAAATTTCTATAAATATTTTGTTTATTATATAATAATTAAATTTTACAATATTACATTTTATAATTTTACAGTTATAAACAAATAAGTTGAAAAGTTTTAATTAATAAAGTATATCGTCAGTGAAGAGAGTTAGCAAAATGTTCAGCTCCTAATTAGAAAATGCCTTTCGCTGAAATATACATTAATTTTTTTTTTCCAAATTCGAAATATAAATAAGAAAATGATAATTAACTTTTGTCATTGAAAAAACAATAATCATTAAAAAAAAATGCCCGCAATTATTAATATATAGAATAATTAATTTTTTTAATAAATAATAATAATTTAAAAATAATAATAATAAAAAAAATATAATAATAATTATTATTTATTTATTTAAATTAATCATAAAAAAATGACTACTAATGAAAAAAAAAAATTATTAGAAAAAAAGTAAATATTCCTCTTCATAAATAATATTTTCTCGGAAAATAAAACTTAAGTCGTTTCCCAAGAGGAGCGGGGAATTAAAATTTAAATTCCACTTAATCTAAAAAGTTGAGGGAAAGAGAGAGAGTGCTGGTGATTCAATGATATTTTTTTGATTTAAAAGGAAGATTCAAACTGGAGCAAAGGTTGAAATTGCCTTTTTAAATTATTAATAAGGGGATAAATATTTTTTAATAATAATAATAATAAAAAAAATATTCCTTTTTTTAAAAAAAATCAAATACGGCACTGTTACCACACCCTTTTGAATAGTGGCCTGGTTCACGTCGCTCTTGAGTGGATCTCACTCCAAAGTTGAAGAGTCAAGAGAGTGAACCGACACACACGTGAAATACATACTGAATTTAATGCCAAATATACGTTGACACGAATTGTCACATATTTTCTACATTTCTTTTCAATTCTTTTTAACAAATACGTCTCCAAAAGTTACAACCGAAAATGTCAAAATTAACCTCACGGACAAAAAAAAAATGAATTTTTCGTTCTTTTAAAAAATTATATTAAATAAAATAATTTTAATTTAAAATTAAATTTTTTTCAGTTATATTTTTATTTATTAAATTTAAAAAAAATCTTTATCCTCAAAAATGTAAAAACTTTTTTTAATTTTGTTTTTTTAATAATATTAATTAATTTTTATTAATATATAAAAAAACAAACTAACTAATGGATTTCTATATTTTAATTTTGCAACAATTTTTAATTAATAATAAAATTATAATTAAATAAATAAAATAAATAAATAATTT